CTTATATAATGATAATAAAGGCATATTGATGCAAGTACACCCTTTTAAAAGAGAAATAAACATTTATTTAGCAAGAATATTTAGGAATGCAAAAAAAAGAAAATTTAAATATCTGAAATAACACGTAAAAATACCAAAATAAATAAATAAAGACCTTATAAATACAAAAAATAGACTCTCAGTCCCTGTTAACAAAAAGTGCACGTAATAGAAAAAAAATCAAACAACCTAAAACAATAAATGGACTCTGTCTCTTACCAAAAATTGCACATGAAAAAAAACAACCAAAAACAATATATATAAATAGACTCTCTATTAAGAAAAAAAAAAAAACACTCAAAAACTCTCTTTTTTCCTCCACCTCATCTCCCCCTAACAGATCGCACTGTTTGTGTGTGTGTATGTGTGTGTGTGTGTAGCCCATAGCCCCGCCTCCCCCACAGAGACAAAGACACTCGATGACAAGAGCTTTCCCTCCGTTCATTATGCTAATGAACCAACTCACCTGGCTGCCAGACAAAGCACGGAAGTGAAAGCACTTGTAATCCAGTCTCTTTGGTGGAGAGAGACAAGGAAAACAAACACGCATGAATATGGCAATTAATCGTGGCCGGAAAAGTTATCGTCTCCCTTTAAATTTACCGTGCAATTAACCGACTTATCACATATCGCGACAGGCCTAGATGCTTTCACACTCCTCTACTGAAGGGGGCGATGTCTGTGCACTTTCCTAAAATCTGAGATTCAAATTTACGGCCGGCATACTGGATTAGGTATGTCACTAATATGAAAGCTAATTGCTGTCTAATACAGGAAACACAACCATGGAGGAGGAGACTTTGACAAGAGATCGGCAAAGACATTTTTTAACACTGGATGTCTTTCATCTTTAAATTCAATTAATAATAATAAATAATAAATTATAGCTGCTGCGCAGCGATGGGTCAGTCCAGGCATTTTTAGGCAATTCTGAGCAACAAGCAGAAGAATTGGAAGACATTTAGGAATTTAGCAACACAATCTGCCTTTTGCATCAGCAAATCATCAATTTCTATCTCACTGAGCTAAGTAGTCAGTGACAATTCATGTGTAGCTTCACAAATTGACTAAGCCAGACGTGCAGGTTTAGCAGCCGTCCGTGCATGGAAAAGCAGGTTTCAAACCACTGTAAAAAATTCAGTCATTGAAACAAAAATCTGAAAATACACATATTGCATCTAGACAGCATGGAGATGTTGGTAATTTGTTTGTAACAATGATTGATTTGCTCCATAAGTGAAAAACTGATGTTTAAAATTGCCATTTTTACATTGACTCCAATTGTTCACATTAGAGCAAAATTCAAAATGCTGTCAAAAATTCAGTTATTGAGATAAAATTTTGAAATTTGCCACACATCATCTACCATGACTCTAGAATTTTGTCATTTTTTCATGAACATTGAAGATTTATTTAGCAAGAATTTGCATGTATATGTTTACAGTACCGTTTACAGTCAAACATTTTGATGCACTGTCGGCTCAATTTTTGATAAATCAAAAATCTGAGAAACGTAGTTTTTGTAGGACAGTCTGAAGATGCTCTGTAGCAAGTTTGGTGTCAATTGAGCAAAAATTGTGGGAGGAGATAGGTTTAAGAAGTTTTACAGTTTTTGAAAAACACAGAGTGATGAACTTCATAATTTTTAATAGGTTTAAATGTACAACAGTTTCTTCAGTATTGGGGCTACAATTTGATGGAAGTTGTGAAGTTGTAGCACGTGTGGTTGATTTGTTATGAATTTTCAAAGTTTTGAACTTTAGACGCTTGCTGTAGCGCCACCATCAGGACTATTGGCTTGAGTTTACGGCTGAGGATATCTGGCATGAGACTGGACCTTTGTGCAAAGTTTGGTGAGTTTTCACCCATGGGAAGTATGATTTCCTCGGAAGAAGAAAGAAGAAAGAAGAAGAAGAAGAATACCTAGGATTACAATAGTGTCCTGGCAGTTTAGCTGACTGGACTCTAATTAATAAAAGTGAATTTTTTAAATATATGAAAACAAAAATAAAAACATGAAAAAAAAAAAAAAAAAGTATCACCAACTATGTTGCAGTGCACTTGCCACTACTGTAGCCTACTAAACACACAGAATATTAATATATCTGTAAACTATACTCAATGTTTGTTAGTAACTGGCCCACCATCATAGTGCAATAGACACCAACATAAATGCTACTGTGATGTCAATATTGAAATGTCTGTGATGAGACTGATGCAGCAGCAGGAGTAGAGAGGCTTTAACTGTTGTTGTTATTTTATTTCTCTGTCATACATCTCTTTGTGAGTAGACTTCAAGTGCTAGAACAAATTGTTTGTGTTGCTTTGTGGTGCAGCCACGACCGTGTAACACATTGTGCACATGATTGTAGTTTGTTTCAAGCCTGACTCCACGAAACCAAAGTGTTTGTTTTACCTTTACTCTCGACCAGGAGCTCTCTTTCTGCCGTCTCCTTACAAGCTCTACCAGCGAAGTTTAAAAACAACTGCAGAGGCAGTGTGTCGTGACTCATTGTTTTTAACTCGCACTGAAACTTCTGTTTGGATTTTTAAGGGGAGGGGCCGAGCACATCTGCTGGGAAGAGGCGTGTGTTTAAATTACAAAAATCAATAACCCAGCCTAACCAATAAAACAATTTAGGTGAATTCAAAAATACTGACTGAACGTTGCTTTAATGATTGATTGACATACAAACTGACAGTCTGACTGATGCTGTGAAATAACAGGCTGACTCTCTGCTGGCCGCTCTGCCAACACTCAACAGTTTTGTTGTTGTAATGATGTGTTCAGAGTTACACTTCATTTTTTGTCACAAACACCGTCACCTCAGAGACATTTCCACTGAGCAGGTGTGTTTGTGTGTGTGTGTTTTTTGTGTTTGCATCAAAGTTAATGTGTGCCAGGAAGACAGTGGATGCCTGTGTGTGTGTGTGTGTGTGTGTGTGTGTGTGTGTGTTTCCCAGTGGACACAAAGACAATGAGACAGAGAGAAACAAAGATGGTGTGCCATCGTTCTCTCCTCAGGGAGGTGAGACATCACAGCGGTGACTTTGTCACTCATCAGTGTTCTTAAACACACACACACACACACACACACTGCACGTACATGTTTTTACACAGAATGAAACATCACTTCAATTACTTTCATTGCTACACATGCGCGCACACACACAACTGACACACACCTGCTTATTTCTGGCATGCACTCATCCTCCACCCACACACACACACACACACACACACACACACATCATATCAACATCCTGGGGACAAAGGTCACCCTGAGCTCTCAGGTGTCACAAGATAGAAAGAGACAAAGAGGGAGAGTCCAGCGATCAGAGAGACAGTAAGTGAGAGAGAAAGAAAAGGTGGAGAGGAAAGGAGGAGAGGAGGAGAGGAGGAGAGGAGGAGAGGAAGAATGAATCATTGCAGTGACAGCGGCTCCCACATGACCAGCTGTCCTCAGAGTGACCTGCCAGCTCATGGCTGCCCGTGTTGCAGCCATTGTTGCCCGTTTGTCATCTAGCTTCACAGTGCACAGAAAAACCACCCTTTATCTGTATGTGAGTAACAGGTTTATACTTTTATTTCACTGTTGCAGTATATTCAGTGGTGGTTCAGTGTTCAGTGTCGAAGCCACTTCGTTAAATTACAGTTTTAGAAGCAGTTAATGTTTTACTTAACTGCAGCTCTCTCACTCTACTTCTCCTTTATCCTGGACTCAGATTTAAATTTCCACAGCCACATCAAATGAGTAACTTCATCTGCCTACTACCAGTTAAAAAACATTGCTACAGCCAAAGGAATAATGTCAAAGCGAGACCTTGAAAGAATCACCCACGCTTAAATTTCCAGTAGATTAGATTCCTGCAGCGGTCTGTTTGTAGGACTTTCAGAACAAGCTGTTCGGCAGCTTCAGCTCATTCAGATTGCTGCTGTTAGGGTCCTGACAAAAACTAGGAAATATGACCTCATTACTCCTGTTCTAAAATCCTGACACTGGCTACCTGTCACTCAGAGAATTGATTTCAATTTTTTGTGTATAATATATCTCTGACATGCTTGTGACATATGAACCTTCTAGGACCCTGAGGACATCTGGAGCCGGCCAACTGACCGTCCCAAGAGTCAGAACAAAACATGGTGAAGCAGCGTTTTGTCATCATGCAGCACAAACCTGGAATAACCTCCCAGATGATGTTAGACAGCCTGGTCTCACTCCGAAGTCGTCGAAATCCAGTGCTTGGGCAGTGACTTGCAGCGTCAGAAACCAATGGAAAAAGGAATTCTTTAACGTCGGCATGTTACGGGGCCGGCTGTCATTATAGTTTAACGGCGCCTGGCGCCAGCATCAGGGAAAACGCGGTGGGACAAGGACGAAAGCCAAGTTTGCGAAAGGTCAAGTGAGGCGGGCGAGAGCGGTGGTGGATGGGTCCAACAAACACCCACTTCCAGCGTCAGACATGGACGAAAAATGCTTTTATTTCATGTCGGCATGACACGCGGTCGGTCATCATTATTGTTTAACTGCGCCTGGCAGCGTCGAGGGGAAATGTGGTGGGACAACATGAAGTTAAGGGGGTGGAAGTCTGAGTAGAGGGGGTGGGCGGGGTGGTGGATGGGTCTAACAACCACTGACTTTCACTCAAGAGAGTGGTGTTCACCTCCCATAAGATATTGTACCAACATAGTGCTTTTATTTTGAAAGACACTGCAAATAAATGTTAAATTTCCTGTTAAAAAAGTGTATTTTGAAAGAAGAAAATCCATGTATACAAATAGAGCTGTCTTGCCTTCTCTTACATTTTTTCCTCTCTTGAAAACATCCTTTCTATCTTTGTCTCCCTTAAACACAAGGGGACCCAAAAGTATTAATAAAATATTGTAATGGTGTTTGGTAGTTTTGATTAAATTGCAGTGTATATGGAAAAGAAAGGAAAGAAAGAAAGCTCTGTCCCACCTGAGTTGTCTGTCCTTGCAGACAGCCACCATGACCAGCAGGTTTCCCAGGACGCTCATCAGCATGACCAGAGACAGGAAGCAGATCAGAGCCATCCGCTTTGGCATGCTGTCGCTATGGAAACACCAAAAAGACAAAACAAAACACATTAGTTCAGGACTGCACAGAGAAACCACAGTCTGTATCTTTTACAAATACGAGCGACGAAGGGTAGAAACATTAGTTTGCAGCAGAAATAAGATTTTTATGTGAAAATCTATCCCTCTTTTATCAGCCTGTAATAAAGCAGAGTTGCGTCAGCAAAAAAAGAAATCCAGTTCGACTAATTGCTTGACTCAACTTTTCCAAATTATGTTGAGGTATTGGTGCAGTCGTTGGCAGAGGAAAAAAAAAACTTAATGAGACTGAGCTCCATCAGGGGACGGCAGGATTTATATGTAATAAAGATTCTGTTGCTCATCAATTTGTCTCAAGTCAGAAATCTGATGTAAAACTACACGATTATCCCATAATGATGAATCTACTGTCGGAGAAATGATTTATTGCATATCCACAGTGAAATCACACAAAGAAGTTCAGAGGTTTGATATTGTCTTTATCTCCAAGGTACCCTACTGGATCAGATCAACCAGCCAAGCAGCAAAACTCTAATTAAAATCAGCAACACAGACATCAGAGAGTTTTTTCTAGTCTTACTGAGTCCTTTAAACTATTGTGATTCCAACTACGTAAGTGCATAAAGGGTTCGTCAAGCTCGGGTCCTCTACCAGAGTACTGGGAGTCTGAGGGTTCTGCGCAGCATCTCAGCAGTTCTAGGACTGCACTCTTCTGGACAGAGACCTCAGATGTCGTACCTGGAGCCACTCTCCCAGTTTGGAGGTCACAGGCCTGAGTGCTCAACCCACCACTCAACTCAACTTTATTTATAAAGCGCTTTAAAACAACCACAGCTGAAACAAAGTGCTGTACATAGGAGGTCATAAAAACAACAAAACAGTGAGATAATAAAAAGCAGTTAAAACAAACAACAATAAAAACAGCAACAAATAAATAAAAACAGAACAAGGTCTCATGCTGGGTTAAAAGCCAGTGAGTAAAAGTGGGTTTTAAGGTTGGTTTTAAAAACAGACAGTGAGGAGGCCTGTCTGGTGTGCAGAGGTAGACTGTTCCACATTTTTGGAGCAGCAACGGAGAATGCACGGTCTCCTCTAAGCGTTCGCTTGGACCTCGGTACCTCAAGGAGCAGCTGATCAGCTGACCTGAGGCACCGGGCAGGGGCGTAGGGGTGAAGAAGCTCAGAGAGGTAGGGCGGGGCGAGGCCATTTAAAGATTTAAAAACAAATAAAAGGATCTTAAAACGAACTCTAAAGTGCACAGGCAGCCAGTGGAGGGAGGCCAGGATAGGTGTAATGTGCTCTCTCATTTGTACTCCAGTTAGCAGATGAGTGGCAGTGTTCTGAACTAACTGGAGACGTGCAAGGGAGGACTGGCTAACTCCAAAATAAAGTGCATTGCAGTAATCCAGCTGAGACGTGATGAAGGCATGGATTACTGTTTCAAAGTGCTGACGTGAAAGAAAAGGCTTCACCTTCGCAAAGAAACTCGACTTTACTACTGCACTAATTTGGCGGTCCAATTTAAAATCACTGTCCTCCTTAAAACCCAAGTTAGTAACAGTAGACTTCGCATAAACTGCCAAAGGACCCAGATCAACAGGGGAGGAAACACCGCTGGAGCCAAACACCATCACCTCTGTTTTTTTTTCCATTAAAATTTAAAAAGTTTAGGGCCATCCAGGCTTTGATATCTTCAAGACATGACAGCAGGGGTTTGAGGGAAAAGGCATTGCTTTTACTCAGGGGGACATATATCTGGCTGTCATCAGCTTAGCAATGAAAAGCGACACCATGCTTTCTGAGGATAGACCCTAAGGGAAGCATATACAGGGAGACAAGTACGGGTCCTAAAATTGAACCCTGTGGGACCCCATATAAAAGCGGAGCAGAGGAGGATTCACAGGCACCAAGACCAACACACATAGTCCTGTCGGCTAAGTAGGACCTAAACCAGTCCAGGGCGCTACCACCAATGCCCACTAGCTGCTGCAGATGTTTTAACAAAATTTTGTGGTCTACAGTGTCAAAGGCAGCGGTCAAGTCGAGCAGGACAAGAACAACATAGTTGCCACTATCATTTGCCATTAAAATGCCATTAAAAACTTTTAAACGGGCAGTTTCCGTGCTATGTGAAGTTTTAAAACCAGACTGAAAAACCTCCATAATATTGTGTTCATCAAGGAAAGTTTTTAGTTGTGCACAGACACTTTTCTCCAGGATTTTAGAAACAAAAGGCACCACTGTCGCCTTTACTCCCCACATCTTTTCTAGATCCTCTTTCAGCCCTTGGTATTTTTCATGCTTCTCGTGTTCCTTCTTCCTGATGTGGCTGTCGCTCGGGATTGCTACATCTATCACCACTGCCTTCTTCTAGTGTTTGACGATCAACACAATGTCCGGTTGGTTAGCCATCAACAGTTTGTCAGTCCGGAACTGGAAGTCCCACAGGATCTTAGCTCGGTCATTCTCCACCACCTTAGGAGGTGTCTTCCATTGTGACCTTGGGACTTCAAGCCCTTACTCAGTGCAGATGTTCCTCTACACTATGTCAGCCACTTGGTTACGGCGTTCCATGTATAGCAGGGTGTACGCCACAATGCCTTTTATTTTGAGAGGCAATGACACAAGTTGAACCTTTGACCCCATCGTCACATTGGTCACCGACGTGGAGGACTCCAGCCATGAAACTTTGCAGCCCGAGGATGCAGCCTACATGGAGTTCAAGAAACCCAAGGAGGATCCTTATGAGGTTTTATGGTGGTGGAAGGAGCATGCTAAAATGTGTCCAGTGGGTATGAATCATGTTCTTTGCAGCTCACTGACTTGATGCAGGGCTCTGAGCCGTACATGCCCTTTCGTGCTTTTAATCGTCTTGAATTCTAAACTAAAAACTCAACAGTCAGTATACTCTGCTCACTCTCTTGCCGCCATGCTCACTGGCACACTTCTGCTTCACCTCCAGCCCAGCATCCACCTGTAGGCTCTGAATCTGTTACCACTCGCTGCAGTGCTGAGCTCCGTGTTTCCATGTGAGGATGTCAGAGCCGAACAGCTAAATGTCAGTGCTGTACATACTTTACATTTGCTGACTGACTTTGTAAAACTCTAAACTGCCCTGAATTAATCCCATAAACTACATTTTGATGCCTCCAGAACTATAAGGTTCTTAAAGTCATTTCATCACTGTTGCAAGTGCTGAATGGCATAAAACTGAACATCTCTGACACTGAACACTGGATTTAATGGACGTCTTTGGCGTTTCATCAGTGATTTACAATGAGTGGATCACTTTTCAAGGACTCTGTGACAGGACACCTCTTCGTCCAATGTGAAGAAAAAAGTTAAGAAGGCCAGATGTAGGATAAATTCACTACACACCAGCGGGAACCCGAATATATTTTATGGCATAAAACTGCAGATGTTGCATTTTCTCTCCTATATACTGTAACCTTGGCACGGCTTCAACAAAGTGTCTCAAGGTACAGCAAAGTAGCTGCATGAGTTATGAATCAAAGTCCTCAGAGTGAGTTGTGTGGTTTAACAGCCCTCTGAAAATGACTTGTTTAATCTCAGACTTGTTTGACATTGGTAATACATTACAGTAATCCTCCCGAGGTTTGTGGTCTCTCGTACTTGAAGGCTTGACAGGGAGGGAGGTGGGAGGGGGGTCGGCACGCAGAAACACATCATCCCCGCTGAAGAAGTGAGAACAACTCCATTACACAGGCACGATTTCAATTTTCTTCTCCTGTGTCTTTGTCCTGAAAGTCTGCAGCAAAGTTTGGGGGGCAATTTATTTGTGGCTTTTATGTTGTGTCCACGTTATCTGTAATATCCCTCTGTGATTCACTGCCGGAGTCAGGAGCTGTGCACCGTCCCTATCTGCCAAATTATTTTACTCTCACCATCTGAGGTTCAAAGGCGAAGTGATAGTGTGCAAATGAGGCTTGTTCTTTGATCAGTGGTGCCAACACATTAATCAGATCAAATGGGAACGCTGACAGCTTCTCAACGGAAGCATCATTATCAAAAGGGCCTCTGTAGCACCATGCTAATCTTCTTTCATCTTGAATTTGTCGGCTACACAATCTGACCTTTCCCCTGAATGAGACATTGATATGCACGCTACTGTAGTAGCACCCACCTTTTAACACAGCTGCAGGTGTCACCGACAGCATACAAATATCCTCTTTCACGCCAGAGCCTCGCCTCATTTTGGATTTGACAAAGTGTGCAGGAGCAAGAGCAGCACTTTTACTCCGAGCTTACAGAACGCACACTTACTGATCATTAGTCACCTGTCAACTTCAGAGTCCAAAGCTGCTGGCATCCGCTCCCTAATTCTTAGGGAACAATTAAGCTCAGCACCAAGCTGTCCAGTGTGGAAGTTACTCTCGCACTCCAAGCTCTTATTCAGCAACAGCACTGAAACCTGGGAGCTGCAGTACGACTGCAGTCCTTTACTGAGCTTTGATGCTCAGTTGCACTTTGAGACCATGTCAAAGAAGAAAGTGTTTTTCTTTCACAGCACTCATCATAATTATTATAATTAAAACAAACCACTTCGTTTGAAGTTCCATCCGACCGCGTTTAAAGGTAAAGTGTTTATAGCTGTTCTGAATGTCTATGCTCAAAGCTGGAGGGAAATAGCCTGCTGTCACAAAAAGCAGCAAGATGCAATAATTATGCAATTGGGGATAACAGCACACCTGCAGTCCCTCCTCCATTCACTCTCTTTGTTGCACTTAGTTCTTCACATGAAAATGGAGTGAAGTAGCTGTGTGAAGAATGAATAAGGAAGCTTGTGATTGAAGCTCAAATCCTAGATACTTTCTCTACTCCACACCTGGGCAGTTCCTAGGTGTATTATAGTGGATATGACTGTCATATTGTCTGTTTAGGAAATTCACAAAAATTGTCAAATGCATCTCACCTAATTTTAGGGTTGTAAGAGTTTGTGTATTCGTGCCAAACCATCACGATGGCGTGCTCATGGTA